ATAGGACAGCTGAAGAGACAGGAAATTTGCAGTCGACATGCATCGCAGGTCTGAGCTTTGGAGTTGAATCTGCAGTCGATTCCTCAAGGACTGTAGCCCATGGGGCGGCCTGCTCCCTCAACTGAGCTAAAGTGTCTTCCAAAGGGTTGTCGGTTTGAAGGTTCATTTCTCAATCTCATAAGGTTTGGAGTTCTACTGTTAACGTATTAGTCAGTGAAAATACATCAGTGGATTTCTAAGTTTTGGATGTTCACAGGATTTCTTTTTTAAAGGTTTATTGTGGGCTTTTTGTGCCTTATTGTAGAGACAGGACAGTGGAAAGAGTCGGAAATCAGGGAGAGAGAGAGAGTGGGGAATAACATGCGGGAAAGGAGGCAGAGGTCGGATTCAGCCTTCGACTCTGACTGAAATATCACATGTAATTCTTTACTGAAAATCCTATCCCTCCGTTTCTAAGAGGGAAATGAGAGCTACTGCTTGGAATGGAGGAAATCTCGTGGTGGTTAATCTTTATTATAGAAGATCTTTGGTTAGTGGTCAGCGAAAGCAAAAGTAAAAAGGGAGCGGGCTCGTTCAAAAAGGCTACTTTAATTTGTGCTATAAACTATACTATTTCAACTATATTTTGTATGATTGCACAAAAAAACATATCAATTTCTTAACGTTGTAGCCTAATTGTTGCTGATTTTTGTGATAATACCACTTTGAATGTGCAAAGGACCCGACCTCATTATGGGCGCCGATTGTAAAGTTGCGCACATGTGACACACCGAAATGTGTTGTCACATTTTGTTATTGTATTTGGTTATTTTGTATGAATATTATACAAACGTATCTGTGTTTTGGTTAAAGTTATAGTTGCTGCGCTCTGCTTCAGTCTGGCAGAAGCGACAGAAGAGTGAACAACTACAGTCGACTCAGTGTGTTTTCTTTGTCTTTTACAGACATACTTTAAGCTGTAAGCAGGTTCCATCCCGTACCTGTTACACACACTACAAATAACAACAACATTTCTCCACATTTAGCCCTAAAAAAATCACTTTTTATTCACATCTAGAGAAATATTTGTGAACTTTGTCATTTTTACTTTTGTGAATAAAAATGTAAGATAATTTCATTGGCAAATATAAATGTTAAATATTTTATCTAAATGTTAAATGTTATATATAAATGTAAAAAATACATGTCCTGATTCTAAATATTTAGCTACGTTTCTAAACATTTAGTTTACATTCTAAATATTTTGCTTTGATCCTATATATTTAGCTAAAATTGTAAATATTTATAATCAAAGCTAAATATATAGAATACAAACAAAATATTTAGCAACGACTTCTAAATATTTAGCTAAGACTCTAAATATTTAGCTAAGATTTCAGCTGGTAGAGTCGTCGCCTCTCAACCGGAAGGTCAAGGGTTTGATCCCCAGCTGAGCAACATGGCCGATGTGTCCTTGGGCAAGACACTTAATCTTGCATTGCTCCGGCTGCTTCAGTGGCAGTGTATGAATGGATTAGTGTTGTACTTACTCTCTGATGTACATCGCTTTGGATGCTTTGCGTCTGCTAAGTGATATGTAACATACAGAAATTGAGTGACTGTGATATACTTAGACCGAGAATTTTAGGTGAAAGCCAAAAGTGTGACAAGATACCCCGCTCTCCCCTACCTCGTTGTAAAGGTGACTAATCAGGCTTTCCAACTGATATATAATACAACAACAATAAGGGTTAAGTTAGCTAAAATGGGCCACATTTTGGTAAAAGATCTATAAGACCATCAAATAAGCTATGCATGAGATCTAATGATATTTTTATAAATTGGCATGGGTCTAATTATTTGTTAAAACAATGTGATTAAGTATAATTGTTTTTGAAATATCAGACTTGAGTATCAGCAGGGTCCGTCTTGAGATAAATCATGATGTTCAGGTATAATGGGCTAGTGCCTAAAATATCTTTTTTCACAAAAAATTGAGTTTCTTTTTAAATGTAAAGTTGTTTTATTTGAAAGAGCATGTAAAACGTAGTTCTTAACCATTTGCTTTGTTTGTAAGCTTACTTGTCATTGCATTACCTACCTTATTAGTAATTAGGCCTAATGAAATTTGTTGGCATGCAACCCTAAAAGAATGATTGATAAGAATGGCTTACCTGGTGCATGGGAATTGCTTTGGTAATCATCTGAAAAGTAAAATGCTTAGATCAATAATTTATTTTTGATCTGCTGCTTTGTTTAAAAGCAGTCACCTACTCTGCATCAGTAATAATTCTAAGTAAAAAAACTGTTTTAATGTATTCAAACCTTCGTCAATTTTGCGGGTCCACACTGGTGTACTCTCTTTTTTTTTTGTAAGCTTGAGGATGAAGTCTGTGTCTGGATTTCTTATACGTACTTTAAAGTACGGTGGATCGGTGAATTGATATTCGAGCTTGACTTCCTGTGGGGGAAAAATGTGTGAAAGACATTGAAGTAATGTAGCACCAGATTTTTTTAAATTGCTATAATTTATGCATTTTTCAAAAAGGTGATATGTTCTTTTGAATCAAAAAGACATAAAAAGATAAATCTGCTGTATCTTGCTAAATATTGTTTAAATGCTAGGTATAAAACACACTCGTACTTTGTTGATCTTTTAATTCTGTTTGACACAAGGTGCCTATTACTTAGATTTGTCAACTGTGCGGAATGTGTGAATTAGCCATTCAAAAGTAAAGTGCTGTTGTTATCATCTATCTCTGTGGCATCAAGAATAAAGAAGACGCTGCGGTGGGATTACTATGGTACTCTGAAAGCGTCATAAAGCACACAATATAGATGATTAAAACAAATTAATGCATTCAATTTGCACCTTAATCACATTGTGATTAACGCATTATTATTGACAACCCTACTTTTAAATTATTGTTTAATTTGACTTATCCAACGGTATCCAACTATTCAGAACCACAGTTCATAGATTTAAATGCAGCTCAAAACATACTTCGGGACAAATTTCTGCACCATCCATATCGGTTGATAGGATAAAGTCATCCTTCATTCTCAAGTGCATATTTTTAGGTGGTACTTCAATTTCTTTGTTTTCGTAGTTTTTTTCAATCTTGAGAATTTCCTGTAGAAAAAAAACACAATAGAAAGTTGCAACAAAAGCTGATTTGTGATCATTTTTGATACAATCATGATTTGAATCACTTATATTTATGAAATCAGGATAAGTAATAACCTGTCGAAGACCAGGATCACACGGGATCAGATAAACTTTGAGCTTGAGGAATGTATTTTTCATCTTAAATATCAACACGCTGCAGCGTGTTTTCACACGCACACCAAATTTGATCAGAACCCCCTTTGGCGAAAAAACTGGTTCAGCTAACTTGACATGGCAAGGCGTGACCTCGGAAACTTGTTCCACAACATCACCACAGTCATCGATGTGGAGGACGGCAAACTCTCCTAATATGTCAGTGTTGCCGTCTGCACAAAATACAAATGCACACATAGGTGAAAAGAAATAATTGCATCAGTTTTTCTTTTGAATGATGTTAGTTGCTCAATTGTAAAGGTCACATATTATGCAAAATACACGTCACCATGTTTTCAGAACACTAATATGTGTTAGAATATGTGTGCTCAAACAAGTCGTTTGGAGATTTCCCCTTATTGGGAAGAGGTTTAAATAGAGAGGTTCATAGGAATGATCTAATACAGGATCAGAGTGGATTTTTTGCAAGAAACTTCACAGGCATGTTTTGGGGACCTCTGAGACTTACCATATTTAATCTGGGTTAAAAGGAGGATAATATGTGACCTTTAAGTTATTTTCTATATTTCCACTCACCTATGCAGATCCAGTGTGGCAGGTACACTTCATCAAACTTTCCAGCAATGACTTTGATGTTCATTAGAGGACCTGCAGGCAAGTATTTCAAGCTTTCCATCCTCTCAATGTGTTCCTCCCAAGAGCAAAACTTGTACTGAAAGCTGACCTTATCCTTACAGATCCAGCGAATGCCGGAGACATTGCATTCAAAACCGTTTCCTACTTCACTCTGTAGGCTAAGTGACACAGCAAGACATCAATGAGTTTGTATATAACTGTACTGTAGTGTTTTAGGCAAAAAAGGAGTAACAAAGAAAAGTATTGTTTTTCATTTGGTCAAAAAAAAAAAATCTTATTTGCTGTTGGTCAGTATTAAAGAAGATATTTGTACCTGTATGTAGGAGACTCATCTCCATCAGTACTGTTCACTTCAGGATCAAGTTTGGTCCAGTGACCAGAGTCCGGCTGACAGAGACAATCATTTTATATTGGCAACAATGAATGAATAAATAAAATAAATACTGAATTAAAAAGAAACGGAACAAATGAATGATGGATGGGATTACCATTTCTTGTCCACAGTCGTCAGGCTCCACACAACCAAAAGGCCCTTGGAAAGACACAAAGGTTTCTTTAAAGTATGTTACTCAGACATATATTATCGAATAGTAACTTTACATCTCTTACATGTATCTCTTATTTTCTGCCGTCGGGTCGGGGTTATAGAACACTGACCTGGAAGAGGGCACGCTTCAAAAAGAGCTCTAAACAAGCTTCCACGCTGACTGACCCCTTCTTCTTATGTGTTTTCCTACCTGTGTTATATGTTTCTACTTACTGTTATATGTTTCTACTTACTGTTATATGTTCTCTTCATGTATAGCCTCCCAACCGTCCAAAGCGGTGATATCAAATTTCCCCCCTGGGGGACAATAAAGTATTGTATTGTAGATCTACTGCCCTAGACCAGTCATGGTTATACGCTATACCTGAAGTTTATCTTCGGGAGCTATAGTGTTGCAAGACATTGTGCAGCTTATCTGGATGGATATACAATTATCAATAACTTGAATTAAGAAAATACAACTTAATTTACACCTATGTCAACCAGTCAAGTTACTGTTTAAATCAATCAGTGTTTTCCAAAATGTGACAGTGTAACTGTTGCTGGGGCAGTGATTGTATATCAAAACATAGGTGCAGCATAAGAAGGCTTACAGTAGAGGGTCAATAGAACTATATTAGCAGAGAACTTCTCTTTTTATCTGTGTTTGTCTGCAGAGCATGTGAATGTCATTAAACCCTTCTAACAGCTGGAGAAAAAAAAACATGAAGAAAAAGGGTAGTGTGTTCAAAACTTTGGACCTACATTTTGAGAATTTGTACGCATGATGTTCTATCAGACTTTTTTTTTTAAAAAAACCATCCCATCATAATCCCTTTATCCATTGCTGTGATTTTGCTGTCATGAGAATGGGACTGATGTGAGGTGAGTGACCTTAACCTTTGATCACACTATTGCTTTATCCTAGTGGTTGTTTGTGCAAACTTTAAAGATATTTACTCCAGACACTCTAGCTAAAAACATGGGACATTCAACAAACAAATGGACAGAAAAGCCTAAAAACATGTTGCCTCCGTCCCCTGCTGATCAGCGTCACAGAAGCATTATAAAACAAAAAAAAAGATGGAGGTTTAAAAATGCAGTCCAGGTTCTGTACACCTAATGTTTTATAGTCAAATAACACTTTTTTTTTAAACTTACCTTTAGATACTGAGCTGCTTTCTGACAACTTTCCGACCAGATCAGTCCTGTTCATCCTCTCTAAAATATCCTTAGTCACCTCCACACAGCGTTGGCCATAGATCTCCACCATCAGCTTCACTATCTCATCTTTGTCTGCAGTCTCCACTTGGTCCTTTGGGATTTTTGGGAGCCCTTCTTTCATTTTAGTGTAGAGCAAGACATGTTTGAATTTCTCCAGGTCCCCTGAACCTAATTCTTCCAGTGTTTCTAAAAGCTGTGAATGGACCGATGTCATGGTTGATTCCTGCTTCATCAAAAAAGTAAGTAAATATTGTTAATTAAATAGTTAGAAATGAAAACTGTCGAGTGTCTGATGTAACATTACTCACATGTTGTGGATCTTTTTGCTGAAGTTTCTCTAAGGGGGGAGAGAAACGGACTCAATCAAATCAGACAAAAAGCAGCTTTAGTCAGTTTTAGTCGTTTTGTGAATAAAATATAACATGGCACCATCTCAACATCTTAAAAATAAATAAAAAATGTACAACTTATGTGGGTTGGATGTGCGGTATTTGGCAAAAAGTTAAACTTAAATGTACTCATTATTAACGTCACAAAAACAAGGAGGCTTGATTCAGCTCAACAATGTCTGTAGTCGTAGTATTTAATGAAGCATATATATTTGTGTAATGTGTCAGTTTTCATCCTCTTACTCTCAGTGTTGAATCCTGAGCTGGTCCCTGAGAGCGTCTCTAGCAGATCAGTCTTGTTCATTCTCTGTAAAACGTCTTTGGTCAGCTCAACAGACTGTTGGCCATAGATGTCCACCATCAGCATCACTATATCATCTCTGCCTGCCTTCTTCACTTGTCGTTCTGGGGCTGGGAGGCCTTTTTCTTGGGCGATATGCAGCAGGTGTTGCTTGAATGTTCTTGTCTTCATAGCTTAAGCCTCTCAATGTTTGCCGAAGTGTCCAATGAAGTGATCTTGTGGATTTCTGATGGAGTCAACATAATCAGAGAGCGTTTATGTGCTTCATCTCAACTGTAGACAAAACTTTAGTTCACTGGCATCAACATTAAGTTATGACAGTATTGTCACATCTACATTTCTGAGCTTTTAACCCCTTATGAACCAGGACTCAGTCTGAGATCCTCTGGCAGATCTCCGCTGGCTGTTCCAAGGTCCAGGCTGAAAACTAAAGGGGACAGGGCTTTTGTTGACAGAGCCCCCAGACTTTGGAACAGCCTGCCAGAGGAGATCAGACATGCAGAGTCAGTCCTTCGTTTTAATTCTCTACTTAAGACATTGTTTTACAAAAAAGCTTTTAATCTGTGGTTTCATTTTGAATTTTAATCTTTTATTCTATGAGTCTGCTTTTATTGTCTGTTTGTCTTACTGCCTGTCTGCTGCTTTTATATTCGGTTTGCTTTTATTGTCTGTCGTAAAGCATTTTGTTACCTGTATTGAAATGTGCCATACAAATAAAGTATTATTGTAAGTTTTGCAGTCAATAAGTAAAATTTATGTTTTGGTGAGAGCTGGAGATTGTGCTTCAATAATAGAAGTTCTTTCTGTGTTTATTTCATACTTTTCTTTCTGTTAGCATTACTGGAAATACTTTTAATTTGTTAGCATTCTTTGATATATTTGAAAGCTAAATGCATATTGTTTATGTTCCTTTAGACAGCATGGTGTAAGAAAGCTGATGTGTGTATTTAGCATTTCTAATATTTGAATGTGTAGCCAGACAGACAATTCCACAAATCCAGAATTCATAGATTCCTATCATTCAGATTAAAGGAACCTAAAACCCAGATGATTAACCCTTTCTTCAACCACCTCACCACAGTTATAACTGACTCTCCACAGTGATTTACACAAACCCATCAGAATCAGTATTCACTCTTTTTCAATTATTATTATTATTTCTCTGCATTTCTACAATTCACTTAGCATATGCATTTGTCTCAAGCAACATACATCAGAGAGTAAGTAAAACACAAACAAGGATCTATAAAAAAGGAAACAATGTCAGTAAGAGCAAACAAACAGCTTTAAGTCTGATCAGACACACAGGTGCTGACAGGCAAAGCACAACCTCAACAGCTTATTGTAACAATAAAAATCAAGCACATTAGTCACAGTGACACCATGATGATTTCAGATTTGAAGTTTACTGGAGTGACCAATTTTAACCAATCCAATATTGTCTAAAAAAGTCACTTGAGGGATGAATGTGGAAGATATTTAGGATTCATGCTCAGCTCTAAGGATGAAACGATGTCCCACTGCATCCATATGCTAAATGATAGAGAAATCTGGTATATTAAATAAAATCAGGCTCACCTCTGACAGGCTGCCAGGGTTGAAAACTATTCATTCACCTGCTACCATCACCTGGAGCACAGAATCAGCTCAGGCTCCACACGGTGTCCAGTAAAGGGATTACACACACACACATACCCAAAGGAAAACTAAAGGGCAAAACATAAACCCACATTTTGGCTCCAACAATTTCTATAAAAACAAAGTATTCTTAAGTGTGTTCTTTTTGTAACATCATCACAACATGGTACTTTTATTGTCCTCCTTCTTTACCATCTGCAGCTGAAAACCTTTTCCACCACTTTACTATCAAGATGAGAATAATTATGTTCATGTAACAATAAAATGAAATAAATGGAAACCTTGTTGTTTAATGTGTTTCTGATTTTACTTTACTCACTTGATGACGCAGTTTAGGCTGATGTTTCTCTGAAGAGAAATAAAAAATAAAAAGTTAATAAATCTTCACAAACCTTAAAGGGCCATGCTTGACGTCAGCCTCAGATCAGAAATACAATATTTTATTATTTGACATAACAAAGGTCAGTGGCTAATGTTACAATGTTACAATTTCATTTAGCAGACGCAGACGAATAAATCTGGCATTAAACTGAAAAGTCCAGAGGTCTGTACTACGAAGCAGGATTTGGGGTTAGCGAGGTAACAACATGGTTAACCCTGGGTTTTCAGTCCTACGAAGGTGGTTCACTTCTAACCTGGGTATATCACCACGGTAACCTATGCTGCACATCTAACCTGCTGCACACCTAAAAATCTCCGCCACTGAACAGTCAGATCTCTTGATCTTGGAGCTCCCGCAGCTGATCGAGAGAGCGGAGGAGGGAGAGAGACCGACCAACACTTCATGTGTCCCGTATAATTTTACATTTGTCTTGAACTTCTTCTTATTTTTAATTTAGTTCAGAGTTTGTTGGATATAACGATCTGCTGACGGCAGACGCAGTGATGATTGTGATTGGTTAAATTAAGCTAACTCCGCCACTTTTATATGATTGGAATAATTAACCCACTGGTATAAAACAGGTTTGTTATCTTGTGTAAACAAAATAATTTATTTGTGATCTCGTTACTTTTGTTGTAATTGTGAAATATCAAATATCTTTAAACATAAATGTGTGTAATGTGGCAGTGTTTGTTTTCTTTCTCTCACCTTGAAGTCCTGAGTCTGTCCCCATCAGCCTCTCAACTAGATCAGTCCTGTTCATGTCCAATAAAACCTCTTTGGTCACCTCCACAGGCTGCTGGTTCCTCACCATCAGATACACCAGTTCATCTGGAGTTGCTGCCCACTCCATGTCGTGCCACTGGATTCGTGTAAAACTCCTCTGGAAGTATGTGAGCTGCAGCACCCACTTAAATTTCTCAAACTCCTCAAGTTTCAAACCACTCAATGTTTCCGAAAGAACATGTTCCACATCTTCCTTTACCGTCTAAAAATGTCAAAGACAATAAACAAATTAGTCATTTCTCCAATGGTAAAATCAAAAAGGAACATCTCTGGGGATTTAATCAGAGATGTAGGGAAGTTATCGGAATACTTTCTCCATGACACAGAACTCAGAACTCAAATACTACAGAGCTGAACTTTACAACCAATTATAGCCATTTGTTTTGGTATGTATTATAATTTGCAATGTTCAAAAACTTGGATATTTTTTAATCTGCATCAGACAAATCAGGCTGTGAAATGTAAAAAACAGACTCACTTTTTCAAAGACTGGAGGTTGATGCTCATCCACTGAGGAGAAAAGACATTTGTGACTACGACGATTATCTTATTTTAATGAGACGTTGATCTACTTTAATAAGGTTCAGCTGCTTTACAAGGTAACAACAACATAACCTAAAGAAATCAAATTCAACAAATGTATTAATTTTATTTATTAAAGATTTGTTTTGTTCTTATTTGTCTCACCTTTGGGTTCTGAGCTAGTCTCTGAAAACATCTGCATGAGATCAAATCTGTGCAACTTCTTTAAAATCTCTCTGGTCTCATCCACAGACTGTCGCCCGTAGGTCTGCACCATCACTTCCAATATTTCTGTACGCTCGTTTGAGTGTCTCAATAAATGTGGGATGTCTTTGGAGTCCTCTTGAAAGGCCAACTGCAGAAACTTGAATTCCTCGAGCTCCCCGTCATTTAAAGAATGCAGGATTTCCAAAAGCAGCTCTTTAACAGCTGCAATTGTTGCTGCCTGGAATAGTTAACACACTCATGGGACATTTGCTTAATCAACTAGGACAATTTTAAATGTGTCTCTTAAGGTGTTGAGCTGGGTGTTTCTGACAGATATTCTTTTTATTATATTGATTATTGTTGAAGGAAAAAGTCAGAAAAAGATTATGTGCTGACATTTCATCTCATAAGCACTGTCAAAGATATTTATGAATCTGCTGCACAACATTACTGCTAAAACGCTCAACCTGAATAAAGCTTCAGCTTTGTGAAAAACAGATTAATTCAAATGTAATCATATTTCATCAAAATGTTCATGTTCATGTGTAAATCAGACAGATGTGAAGTGATTACTCACTTTCTCCAACAGGACAGAGCGTGGTTCATCTGAGGGTTTCTCTGAGGAAAAAAGTGGAAAAAATAACTCATGAGAGATTGATCTTAAACATGACAAAGATGTTATCAGGCAAATAGTTTAGTAATGATTTGTGAGGTACAACATAAGTCAAAAAGATATATTGGTAAACCAACTGATAAGTCTTAATATCTGTGCACTATGAATCTTGTAAAGATACAGATGTAACTTAAACACTTGTGAAATAGGTTTAGAGACAGTTTTATGATTTTAAATTATCTTGGTCTTCATGGTCATACTTTTGAAACTTGAGCTGGTCTCCAACAACTTCTGCACCAGATCAGTTCTGTTCATCTGCTTTAAAATCTTCATCGTCTTCACAACAGAGTTTTGACCAAAAGTCAAAACTGTAACACACGCAGTGTCCTGATGGTTTGTCTGCCACAAACGAGGGTTGTATGATTTATATGTTTTGTGCCTTCATATCTGATCAACTGCTTGAATTCCTCATACTGGTTTTCTGTTAGGCAAGCTATAATTTCCACAAGCAGTTCTAAACAGATGTCATCTTTTCCACCTGAAAAATTAAAAGAACATGTTGAAGGTGCAAAAAATGAGTACAGATATTTCTTTTCACATTTCATCAATTGTCTTTTTTAAGACTGACCAACGTACATCTGCCACATGAACAGAGGTTATCATACTATAGTTATGTTTACATTCAAGTACTTTACTTTTTTTACAAACAGCTTATATTTCTGCATTGAGTAACATACGGTTGTTACCTTTGATTTTCTTTTTTAAGATTTATTTTTGGGCTTTTTGTACCTTTAATAGATAGACAGGACAGTGGATAGAGTCAGAAATCAGGGAGAGAGAGAAAGTGGGGAATGAGGGAAAGGAGCCACAGGTCGGATTTGAACCTGGGTCGCCCACTTGGAGGACCAAAGCCTCCATACATGGGGCGCGCGCACTAACCACTGCGTCCCTACCTTTGATTTTCTATTAAGTTTTTGTTTAATTCTAATTCCATGGTGTACATGTGTCTAAATCTGTGCAATGAAAATCAGATAACTGTATGAATCTTCCAAGAGAGTGTCTGTTAAAGGGGCGGAGCAAGGGGTGGCCAGCCCAGGAGGGACCTATGTTTAAATCATCTTTTTGTGCTGATAGTAGTATGTGCACTTTCTTTGTATGTCAATGTAACACATTTCACTTTGCTAGTATTTTAAAGGCAGAAAATGCCATTTTTTTTGATCCAGCAGATGTTGCCTTTGAGCACCAGCATGAAACCAAAACAACTTGCGCTGCATTGTTGTGTTAGCATGCTAATGCTAGCGATTTTTATTATGATCGTATCTTCACACTGCATGTAAATTTACCTACGTGATCTAGAAACGTAGTTAAGCAGTGAGTACAGTATGTTATTCTTCTTTTCTCTAGTCCCTCAATTAAACAACTTTTATACGCGAGGGGATGAGTCGGCCGGCCGTCCCGACGATGTAAACAAACTGAAGATAGGACTCGGAAAACATCACAGACAGCGGGACTCGGGTGTTACACCCATTGTAGACAGTCATGACTCAGAGTTATTTTCAGAGGATTGATTTCTGCTACATTTAAGTGTGAAAAATTGCATATTAAGCCTTTTAAGGAAGAATGTGTGACATTTTACACATAAATACAGCAGAAATCAAGTATATCCTGTAAATGTCTGTTTGAGTTGTGACTGTCTGCAATGAGTGAGAAGCTCGAGTCCTGCTGGCTGTGTTGTTGTCAGGGTTGTGTTTACATCATGTTTACATGGACGGGACGGCCTTGTGCATAAAGCTGTTTAAGTCGAGGTCGAGAGAAAAGAAGAAGAATTTACTCACTGATTATTTGGATTTCAAGTAAGTGTGTTTAGAACTCGGTCATTCTGTGTCAATTTATGTTTAATGTGAAGCTACGAGCTAAGTAAAGTGTGCTAACATTAGCCTGCTAACACAACAATGCAGACCACAGGCAAGTGCAGCTCGATCAAAGGACAAGTTTGTCCGCCACTTGCACTTAGTGGTTGTTAATGCTTTGAATTGCCCCGGGGACAAGTAATGTTTTTTGAATTTAATTATTTTTTTTATGGTGCGTTCTAATTCCTAACCCCTTCATGGGAGGCGAGTGGAGAGGTGTCGTAGGTGTGCTGCTGGAGGAGAGCAGAGGATTCAGAATGGCAGAGATGTTTCCAAACAGCAGTTTGTTTTGGTTTAATGCTGGTGCTCAAGGACGACATCTACTGGATAAAGAAAGTCGCACATTCATCCTTTAAATTGGATCTTCCTTTTCAGTGCTTAGAGAAATAAACTAAGATTTAAATGTTTTAATCTCTTTTTAAAGTAAAATAAATAAATAAATATTCAGGAATATAACATCATATAACATGTGATACTTAAATGTAAGGAGAGTTAAAGAAGATATGATTAGTGGAGATATAAAGGGAAAATAAATGCTATTGATTCAGTGTACTTTGCTTTATCAGCTCTTTGAGAAAATATTGATTAAAACAGGTTAATGTTACTTAAAGGATCATATTTTTTATCAGCATTAAATAAATAACGTTAGTTTTTGTTACCTTTAATTGAAATGTTCGAGGTGGACTCTATAATAGTGACGCTGTGTGAAGTCAGAGTGATGTGACATACTCACCCTCTGGGTCAGTGAAAGCGGCTCTTCATCCATAGAGTGTTCTTCTGAGGAAAAAATAAATGCAAAAGAAAACCAATTTTATTTCTATCCCTCTTCCTGCATCTCCCTCCCTCCCACTTTCCAAACCCAACACAGATTCAGCAGACGGCTGTTCATCATGAGTCTGGTTCCGCTCGAGGTTTCTGCTCTTAAAGGATTTTTTCCTTTCCACTGTAAATTTGCTAATTCAATTAAATTCAAAAAACTTTATTTTATCCCCGGGAGACAATTCAAAGGCACACAGAGCAGTAAATGTTTCTTGGTGCTCGTAATGGATTAATGTTGGGCCTTTGTAGATAATATAACAAAGAGTAAGATATTTACCTGCTCTTTTTGTAAAGTGACGGTTTTGCTTTCCTCATTAATTGAAATATAGAACTTTTAAAATGCCTTGATTGTGTTGTGTGAAGACTTTGTGTTTGTCTCACCTTCGGGCTCCCGTCTGTCGCCAAGCAATCTCTTCACGAGAGCAGTCCTGTTCATCTTCTTTAAGATATTTCTGGTCAACTTCACACACTCCTCCTCGCTGTATCTCTTCACCATCAGCTCCTCTATTTTCTCTGGGCATATTGATTTTAGATCGAGTTTTGAGAGGAGGGGGACACCTTTCTCCAATTCAACAAGTAGGCAGAAATCTTCAAGCTCCCCAGAATTCAAATGTTCCAATGTTTTAGACAGCATCCTACGTGTCGTCATTTTTTCAAGCTGGAAAACAAAGACAACATCACAGAATATGCAGAATATGACGAGTGCCATTTACAGAACGATTGATATTTACATGTTTGAAATGAAATCAATACAAAATGATTAAGTTAATTAAGTATTATGTAGTTGTATCAATAACTTCACAAACTCTGATTAAATATTTTTTTTAATTATCTCGTATTCTTTCATTAGAGAAAACACATTTGAAACATTTTTACTGGTATTGATGGGTCACTCAGTAGTTATTCATCAAAGGCTGCGGCCTTCAGGTTTCTCTAGATCCATTTGTAAATCGTATTCATGACTTACAAGCATTACATGGCCAGTTGCCAGTTTACCTCAGTGAGAAGTTGTCTGGATGAGCCTGCTTCACCTGTTCATCATTTTTGGTTTGGGTTGGGTTAAGCTTTGGTTCGCTCTCAAAAATATTTCAAGGGCTTAGTAAATGTAACAGTAATATAAAGGTATTATTGCTTGAAAAATATGACTGAACATCATTATGATGAGTATTTGGGTTCACTATATCAAAATGTATGAGTAAAAATGAAACAGAAATCTTTGTGTGAAATGTAAATATATAAAGTAAGTTTATTTAATTAAAAAAAGTATGACTTGACTGACAGATTACATTGTTTAAATATTTTATAATAATTACTGTATGTTTCATCGATATTTTTGAGAATAAACTATGAATAGTAATCAGTTTAAAGAACTACAATTATTAGACAATTTAACTTCATATTATTTGTAATTTGACTAATCTGTCGCGGAAGTGACGACATCATTCGGTCCGATTCAAACCATAGACTGTAAAAATAATGTTTGCCCCACACACACAAATAAAAACAGTACCGGTAGGTTTAGCTCCGTAAGCAGCAATGGCATGTGTGCCACGGAAACAAATAACCACTGTTACACGAGTATGTATGTCTGTCTGTGAATGGCTCAGTGCGCATGTGTGTGGGTGGGGGGAGCGAGTGAGGAGAGAGAGAACGAAGCGAGTGTGTTCGGCAGGTGTGTGCGAGCTCACAGCTTCCTGGTTCAATGTACGCTGATAATTTTGACATTTAGATAAAACCCTTAATATTTGCAGTCTAAAACTCCATTCTAGATGTTACTTAGCCCAGTAAAAGTAGTCGACTGTTTACAAACCAGAATACCACTTGAGGAAAGGAAGTAGTAAAACAAAGATGAAAGTAGGCTAACTATAGAAAACTGACTGACTCACGTCCGCTGTTTGAGCGACAAATTCCCAAGAGAGTCTTAATGAGCTGAACCGTGAAGCAGTTACTGTTTGCCTTGATAAAGTTTCTATGTTCAGACGTTGATAAAATAATACTCACCTTGTTTCTGTCTTTCCACGCGTCAAAATGTTTTTAGTAATTATCAACTCTTAAAAAAGAACAAGTTTAAAGCCCAGTCA